CCCTACAAACCCTATAAACCCTATGAACCCTAAACCCTGAACCCTATAAACCCTATAAACCCTATAAACCCTAAACCCTATAAACCCTATAAACCCTATAACCCTATAAACCCTATAAACCCTATACCCAGCCAGGTCGCTGTCATAGATGAAGACCGTACCTGCTCGGGTCGTTGAGTTTCCTACCCGTTCCCACCGACGGTTTAGGGTTTAGGGTTTAGGGTTTAAGGGTTCTGGGTTTAGGGTTTGCCTTTCATCCAGATGCCGTCTCTTCGGGAGCTGGGTCTTGATGTCGATGCTTCGAGCTTATTCCGGGCTCTTGTTAGGGGATTTAGTTTAAGTTGCTATATTCTTTACCATAGAACCCCATTATGGCAACTTAAATTAAAAAAAATCCCCTAACATCCTAAGCCCTAAACCCTAAACCCCAATTTCGCCCTAGCAAGAACCCAGTACTCGATGAGGCTTGTGTAGGCTTGAAGAGCGAGCGGTGAGGCTCTAGGGGCTCTACCAAACCTCAGTTGCCCTTAAAGATCCATACGGTTGATGATAGAAATCCTGCATGACCCATAATAAGGAAGATGCCATCCTTCCCATAGTTTAGGGTCCTTAAGGTAATGCAGGATTTCTATCATCAACAGTATGAACAGATCCCTTATGGGTTTCGTGTTTAGGGGGTTTAGTTTAGGCCCTAAACCCTTAAAGATCCCTTTGTAGATCCCTTATGGGTTCAGGGGGGTTTAGCGGGCTTAGTTTAGGGTTTAACGTTTGGGGCTTCGGGTTTGGCTTGGTCCCCGGTATTTCGGAGGCCGGGCGTTGGCCAAAGTCTACTGCAAGTGTCGGGTTTGGGGTTTAGGATTTTAGGGTATAGGGTTTGGGCTGTAGGACCTTAGGGCTTCTGACTTTAGGGTTTAGGGTTTAGGACTTCAGGGTTTAGGGCTTCAGGACCTTAGGGTTTAGGGTTTGGGCTTTAAGATTTTGGGGTTTAGAGTTTAGGGTTTGGGCTTTAGGACCTTAGGGTTTAGAGTTTGGGGTTCGGGCTTTAGGACCAGGATCTTCCACGAAGTCGGAAGCTTGTGCCGGTGCCGGGTAGCTGGAGGAGGGCTGGGACCGAGCGACTTATAAGCTTACCCAGAGGGGTTTAAGGGGTTTAGGGGGCTTTAGTTTAGGGTTTAGCGTGTGGGGTTTCGGGTTTGGCTTGGTCCCCGGTATTTCGTTGGCCGGGCTTTTTTGCCGAAGTCTACTGCAAGTGTCGGGCTTGGGGTTTAGGACTTTAGGGTTTAGGGTTTAGGACTTTAGGGTTTAGGGTTTCTGACTTTAAGGTTTAGGGTTTAGGACTTTAGGGTTTAGGACTCTAGGGCTTAGGGTTTAGAGTTTGGGGTTCGGGCTTTAGGACCAAGATCTTCCACGAAGTCGGAAGCTTGTGCCGGTGCCGGGTAGCTGGAGGAG